TACGGCTGTTTCCTCGGCTCGCTATGTAAGTGTTTTTCACATTCGGTAAAGAATGCCATGCCAATGCCATGCCTCCAAAATGGCCAGTTCATGCGCCAGTATTTTTTTTTGTGTTGCCTCTGCTCTCACGCCACCTCTAATCTCCTCGCACCGATCTACAGAATTCGTACACGGGAGCGGTGATCATTTATTCAACAGGCACCTCGGCCTATTCGGTTGTCTATCGGACGACGCTCTTGGGTCGCACGTATGGCTCTGATGACACCAGCAGGTACGTTTGCTCAAGAGAATGTCGCTTTATGCAACGTAATAAGTTTGTCTGATCGATTTGGTCACTTATCATCCTTGGCCACCACCCGACTCGCTGGTTCTTGATAGCACGTACTTTGGCCAGACCATGTCCATGGGTGGTCTGCGTCTTGCAGTTGGGGCGTACCTTCACAACAACTTGGGTCGCGTTTACATTTTCAGCCGAAGCAGCGCCTCCTCCCTGTCTTACGCGGACAATGTCAAAGTGGTACGTACGCCCTTACGGGCATTTTTTCTTAATGTTTTCTTTTACACGATTCACATGACTTTGCGCTTGAATACTTGGTTCGTTTCGTTTTGGATTGCACGTTTTGTGTTTCTCATGACCCTGTCGACCTGTATCTTGGTGTCGGCTATAGATTGAACCTCCATACACCACGACTAACACCAACTTTGGCTGGGGTGTTGGCCTTTCGCCGAATGGCAACGCCCTTCTTGTGTCAGCGCCCAGTACGTTCGACAACGTAGCCGCGAGCCATCACAATGCATCGTATCGAAACACCCAGCCTTTATGATCTAGTCTCACAAGCGCATGATAACGTTATTGCAACACCAGACAACGGCGCCGGTGTGGTGTATCGCTACGAGTTTGCCAACAACGCGTGGACGTTGAAGCGCACGTTTACAGCCGGTCAGGACTCGCTTGAACTCACTTAACGCACTCGCTCGACCGCTGGGTTGTGAGAATTGGGGGCCTCGTGCAGTGTGTTTGTCTCACGGCTTCATTTTACGCGTCCCAAAAATGCATTTGGTTAGAATCCGCGGGCATCAATCAGCTTTTTGGCTATGGTATCTTGATGGTGCCAGACTCGGAGGAAGACGGCGATATCACGGCCATTGGCAACTCTCTGGCCGACACGTTTGCTAGTGAGTTGCTGGCGTCTCTTTCTCTGTCCCCCTTTCCCTTCTTGGACCAACTCGATGAGACGTGTGAATCATCCCTCTATCTATCTGTTCTTTCCCTTTGCCTCATTCACTGTCTCCCTTTGATGCTTGCGTGTTACAGCCAACAGCGGCGCGGTTGTGACGATTTCCAAGTTCAAGTCGGCTTTCAGCGATGATGATGATGCCTAAACCGCCTCAGCACTCGGCAGTAGCTGGCATCATTTTTTTTTTTTTTTTCTGCTTCCTCTCCTCTTTCTTTTTTCCCCATGTTTTTGGTTCTTTATGGTTATGACACTATCCCTCCATTTTGAAAGCCGCTTGTGGCATGACCACCAGTTTTGGAAAGCTATCTACTCCATATGATAGTTGTGACCAAGCAGTGCGCAGGTCTTGCTTTCACGGCTTGAGGCGACCTGGAACATTGTGTTTGCGTGTGTTTTTTCTCCTTCTCCATGTATGTTGGGGTTTTTAGTTTTTTTTTTAGTTTTTTTGTCCGTTCATTCTTTTACTGCTTAGGTTTTCTTCGCCCCACCTCTGATATCCTCTGCCCGTGTGCGCGAGGCCAGGGTGATGGCCTTTATCCCCCTTTATCTTCTTGCTTTTGGTTGACCAAGCAACTTCAGTTGCCCCTCTCTCTCCTGCGGGTTTGGGATACTTCCCATGTTAATTTTTTTTTTTTCTGCTGCGAGATTTGGATATGCTCAATCTCACCCCTTTTGACTTTTGGAAGCATTTGATTCTATTCTGCTCATGTTCAGTCT